ATGAGTATACGTTGCCCAGGATGCACCACGTGAAGGTAAGGCTAACGCACATCCCCTTTATGGTTAATTAAAGAATGGCCTTAAATGTGCTTACAAGCCAATTTCAAATTGCCGTTTGCTTGTAAAAAGGTCACAGGGGCTTACATTTTGGATTACTGTCAAATTTTCAGGAATGGCGTGCGTCCGTATATTCAAAAGGTTGATGATTAGCATGTTGAATAAACAAAATAATAAGTTTGCAGCTCTGGGAGTCTTTCTTAGGTTTCGTAATCGGTCAAATGCTAGTCTTAGTCAGAATAATATACAAGGGGGATGCAAAACATATTGTAACTTAGTCCTGCACATTGACGATTAATTTGAAGTCAAATATTATTTATTTCAAATGGCAGGCTTTATGATATTTATCATTAGCCCCCCTTAATCCTTTGACGTTCCGCTTCCCCCAAGAGGGGGGGGGGTACATTTATAGCAGTTACAATAGCAATTCATTAGCTGTCTTCTTGCTTCCCAGTATCTCTGGCTTAATTACATTTATAGCAGTTCATTAATAGCAATTCATTAGCTGTCTTCTTGCTTCTTACATTTATAGCGGTTAATTAATAGCAGTTCATTAGCAGTCTTCTTGCTTCCCCGTACTCTGCTTTCAGCTCATTAGCTGTCTTCTTGCTTCCCAGTATCTCTGGCTTTCTTGCTTGTCTTTAGAGCTGGACACCGAATCAGGTGGGTCTTCCTTGTCTTTAGGGCTGGACACCGAATCAGGTGGGTCTTCTCCTTGTCTTTAGGGCTGGACACCGAATCAGGTGGGTCTTCCTGTCTTTAGGGCTGGACACCGAATCAGGTGGGTCTTCTGTGTCTTTAGGGCTGGACACCGAATCAGGTGGGTCTTCTCAAATGTAGGTTACATAGAGGGCATGTGGGTTGAGTGTATACTCTACGTTACATAGAGGGCATGTGGGTTGAGTGTATACTCCCTAGGTTACAAAGGGGGCAAGTGTTTACTCCCAATCTGTGAAGGTGTTTTGCCAGGCAATGGCTCCTGTAGGTTACATAGAGGGTATGTGGGTTGAGTGTATAACCATTTCCTCCTGTAGGTTACATAGAGGGGATGTGGGTTGAGTGTATACTCTTAGGTTACATAGAGGGCATGTGGGTTGAGTGTATACTCCCAGGCTACATAGAGGGCATGTGGGTTGAGTGTATTCTCCCAATATACCGAATCAGGTGGGTCTTCTCCATTTCCTCCTCTACGTTACATAGAGGGCATGTGGGTTGAGTGTATACTCCCTAGGTTACAAAGGGGGCATTATAGGCAATCGTGTTCGGTACGTAGTCTAAACTCATCAACGGGGCAATCCTGTCCGATACGTAGTCTAAACTCAGCAACGGCTTCGATTCTCGAAAGTCGGGTATGTCGGAGATTGCTACTGTCCACCGTTTCTCCTTTGTTCGAGCTTTAATTTCGNTTTAGTCTTGCCTCGGGGAATAGTTTTCTTTGCACATCTGATCATAATATTCGTGATATCATTGCAAAGTTTATCAGGATGTTGGTTGAAGTTGAGGGGACTTGAATGAAGTTCATCCTCTAAAAGGTTTGTGAATCTAGGCCAGTCAGCCTTCTTGAAGTTCCATGATAGCTTAGTTGGCACTTTCCTTGACATGCTTTTGCTGCCGATGGTAATACTAGCAATGACTGGTTTGTGACCAGAACCAGGATCTTCAATTATTTTGCGGTGTGTATGCTCACTGATGTCGCTTGAAGCCAAGAGTAAATCAGGAG